TTTTAAACTAGTACAGTACACTTTTAAAAGTATATTTGGTTCATATATCATCTCCTACATAATTTTAGTTGCTGTCTTTTTACTCTGTTTTGATGTCAGAGAACCCAGATATATTTGTATGATTCACCAAATCTCCAATAATCTGCACTTTGAGTAAACTCATCCATCACAGGAGGTGCCTTTTCAAAATTGTACTGACTTGCAACTATCTTTACGAAACTTTTTTTGTAAATCATCACTAACGTTTTTAATAAGTTTTAATTTTTTATGAACTGTTGTTAGTGGCCACCTAGGATTTCAAATAATGCAGGGAGAGCAAAGGAGTTATAATGTGATTGTTAGGGCAAAGAAATAAAACATGTTTTTCAAGGTTCTGTCTATGGTATAATCTCAAGCCAAATCATAAGAGCCTGAGTCTTTTCAAAATGTTTCTGAAGTTAAGTACTCATTTAGTGTGCCCTACTTTTCTACAAGCATAGCATTCATCCCACTTTACTGTACTGGCTTTTTAATTGTTAGTCTCCAGTAAGAGGCTTTACAGTCTATGACCTCAGACCAGGTCTATCTTTTCACTGCTCTATCATTTGCACCTAATATAGCACCAAGCACTTTACAGGTAGAAAACAAATTTTGTTGAATTAATGAGGGATACTCTGAGTAGTGGTAAAATTTCACCTATTTCATTTGTATATTTGTTGTTGAGTAGTACCATATTTAGTAATTGAAAACAATGATACTTTGTTGTATTTTTCCACTTATTTCTTGAATTATCTAAAAGGCTCTGAAAATATCTACAGTGTCCAAAGAATAGAGCTAGCTCTGCTACAGAAAGCCTGCCAATGTTAGAGCTTCTTAGACCCTTTATGATACCAGGTGGGACATACATTCCAAAATGTATGTAAAATCTTTTCCATATGTTCTGTTTAAATTTGTTTGTTTAAAAATAAAAATATATTTCACTACTATTTAATGTTAATATTGATAGGAGAACATGCATGTGACTTGCAAATAAGTATAATACATTGCAGAGCACTTCATTTTTTTGACAAAAGTATGTGATTTAAAAATTTTTGACTATCACTGTACAAGACCACCATCAATACATATCCAGAATACCAAGGTGACATGAAATACTAAACGGTAATGCATTAATATGTTTTCTCTTCATTGACATAAATGAAGATGACATAAACCATATATACTAAATCTGCATGTGTTTTAAACTAACTTTTAGAGATCACATGGTAAGAAAATTCTGAAAACCATAAGAAATGACAAATACACAGGGAAACCAAAGGGAATTGAGGAAGCTACAATACAGGTGAAGTAGAAAGCCAATGACAAAGTGAGATTTCTCAACAAACTGTGTAAAACTCCACAAATTGGCATTGATGAGAGCTTGAGTAGACTGTGAGTTTATGAATATTGGGACAATTTATTGGAAAACTAATTGGAGCCAGAGGCCAATGAAGTATGGAGATGAGTGGTATCAACAACAACAGCAGAAGGTAGAAGACAGGAGAATATTATCTTCAAATAGTGACGGAAAATAATTGTTAATCTGGAATTGTATACCACTGAAGCTTTAAAGGAGAAGGACAAACCAATGATTTCTGCAGACAAAAATGGAGAGCATTTCATACCAGCAGACCTGCTTTAAAGATGAACTAATTTCAAAGGAAGGTCTGAGATGCAGGAAGGAATGGTGAGCAAATAAAATAGAAAATATCTGTGTAACTCTAAGTAAACTTACCATGTGAAATAATTACAAGATTTTCTAATTGATAAGGGTAAAAATCGAGAGAAATTAGTACAGAACAATAAGAGACTATAAGATGGGAAATGACTGGTTAGCGTTAGAGCATTCTGAGTTCCTTTATTTAGGAGCAGTATAAAAGGGTGGATGAACTTTAATATTTCAGTGAAACATACATGTTAAATTTTCTAAGAAAACAGCTAGTAGAATAGAAACAGAATGTTTAAATACCAAAAAAAAACTGGTGGAGGGAGAAAACTTGGATTTTAAATGAAGTGATTTAACTAATTTAAACATGCAAAATTATAATACTGACAGTAGAGGGCAGGGTATCCCTGATACTGTGTTGATAATTTCTTGAAAGTGCAAAGCATATCTAATGTTATCCCTGAAATCTTATGTTTTATGTATTGAGCCGCATATTAGAGATTTTATGCTTAAAAATACTAATGACACAATTTAAGTTTTAATTAAAAACAGAAATCCTGAAATGACCTGTGTAATATTGACAGCTTCTAGGTGAGGAAATGTCATATTTATTATTAGTCTTTAGGATTTAGGAAATCTGTTGAATTTTGCTAGTGCATTTTGAGAGTCATTTCTTTTTTCCTTGAAAATAATTTTGAACTTTCTTGGTTAAAAAATAGAAAAAGAAAAAAGTGATTGTAAAATAAGATGGTGAGAGCCCTAATTTCTAGGATTATAGATAATCCCTAAATGATGGCCAGTATTGTTTCTGGATGTGATTCTCTGGTTTTATGTCTTTCTGTCCTATAAATAACTTGAAAAATTATTGCAGTCTGAATCCCTTACACCATCTTTGTGGTTTAGTGAGACAAAACTTGGTTTTTATATCCTGTTGTAACTGTGTTCACATATAGGAAGCACTGGAATGCTTGTTTCTTTCTTAATAAATGAGATTTTATGTTGCTGCCATGTTTCTGTTAATTATTCTAATTGTCAACATACAGAGTATAACTGGACTTCTGCATTCTTGTAATTAGTCACTTAGGATAGCCTAGGTAATCCTGTGGTAGCAAATGACTTAAAGTATCAGTGACTAACAGGAACAAAATTTTACTTTTCACTCACTCTACATGGTGTCACGGGTTGGTCTTAGTGCTGTTTTATGTTGTCTTCATTTGGATCCCAGAATGTTGGAGCAGCCCTTATCTGGAATATTCTGGTCTTATAGCGTAGGAGAAAACAGAACTTGGCAAACGACATAGTGGCTTTTAAAATTTCAGCATGCAGGTGACATGGGTCACTTCTGCTCACGTTACAAGAGGCATACAACCGAGGCTGATAGTAGTGGAGTAGGAGGGTATAAACTTTCCGGAGAGATGGGCTGCAAATATTTGTGAAAAATAACACAATCTAATATTACAGTGTCCTTATGATATTTCTTAGAAATTTAACCAAAATTTTAGTAGATTTATTTGTGCAAGCTACCTTTTACAAGTAACTTGGTTCAATAAGTACTATTATTGTTTAGTTTTTAGTCACTGAGATTTCTAAAGAAAATGTGTAGGAATCTAATAGACAATATTTAGAAATGTTGGTGATTACTAATGGTAAGGAAAATTTTAAAGGTCCTAAAAAATAAAACAGTAGTAGAATTATGGCTTTACTTTGTTTTTTCACAATGAGGGGCTGGCAAAAATTCTGAACTCTGGGTCTCTTCTGTTTCTGGTGAAAGGGATTATAGATCTGTGAAAGAAGGAAAAACATAAAAGTATTTTCCTTTGTAAAAACAGATTGTATTATAAACCTTAGATGTCTACCTTAATGAATATAGCATTTTAAATTTATAAGATAACTTTAGAATTTTTTTTCATATAACTTTCACAGTGACCCTGGTATGGTAACAGATGATATAATTACCATTTTTCTAAAGAAGATGCAGAATTGGCTGAAGGTCGTATGACTGCTCCATAGTAACATTAAGACTGAAGTATAAATTTTCTGACCATTCTCCTGCCCAGAGAGCTTGTTACATCTCCATTATTTAAGGAATGTTATGTCATCTTGACTCATTCTGTCATGGATGTGGCTCTCAAATTCTGGTGAAGATCTACTACTAAAAAATCAAACAACTGACTCAATCTGTTGATTAATTTTCATTGCCACTTTATAATTTATAAACACAAGAAAAACTAGATGTGATTAAAATATCTTTCCTCATGACTTTGAATTTTAAACAACTTAAAATGGGTATAGCTATATTGCCCAATATTATTGTACTTACGAGACAAATTCACGGATAATAATTTTGAAATTAAGAAAAAAATATAGAGACTTGTTAAACTAAGTATTGCTATATTTTAAAAGAACCCAGAGTCATCTTCTTCTTTCTTCTTTTCCATTTTAGCAGGCTGAGTACTGCCCAAATTTCAGATCTGCACATCTATCCTAACATAATGTTGTTAAATCCACATTCTGTTAGGTGAGCTACCTACCTTGTTTATGCTCTCTGGGCATCCAAATCTTTCTGCTCACCAAATCCCAATAAGTGACAATTCCTATTAACTGGTTAGATTCTTTAGAACAAAACTGTATAGAGAGGCAAAGAATATTTGAAAATTAGTGAACCCATGTTATGGGAGGAGAACCACATTTATTTCATTTTCTCTTATTGTATGGCAGTTTAGTTATTAAAGGCATAGAGTTGAGTTTGAATCTTGCTTTACTACGTTCTATATCAGAGGTTGGCAAACCACAGCCAGCGGACCCACCACCCATTTGTGTAACATAGCCACATTGACTCCTTGAAACATTGTCTATGCGTGCTTTTGTACTACACAGCAGAGTTGAGTAGCTGTGACCGAGACCTTGTGACTGGCAAGCATAATGTTTACTCTCTGACCCTTTAACAAAAAGTTTGCTGATCCCTGTTCAAGAAGTATGATCTTGGCCAAGTTATCTAAATTTCTGGGCCTCATTTTTCTAATTGTAAAATATGAATAACAGTGTACCAAGTTGGGTTAGTGAGCACTAAATGAGTTACTCTGTATAAAAAGTTAGCATAGAGTAATAACATGGAGAATAAGTGCATCATAAAGACTGATGAAACTATAATCATATCCAGAAAATATAATATAGCCTATATTTCCTCCACACTAAGGAACTGGTAAAAATTCTTATGAGAGAATAAATCTCTGGTTATGTTTCGTCAAGAATATGGATTCCTTTTGCGTTGTTTCATTTCTGCTGAGTCTCTTTTCTGTGTCCCGTGTAATTCTAGCCTCCTACAAGCCTGTTCCGGACTGTCACTTCTTGTAGCCGACCCTTCTTTATTATTTGTGGAAAATTCTCCATGTCTACATCTGGAATTGCTCAAAGGTCAGTGTAAGTACTGAATCTTTATTAATGGTTTGTTCCCATCAAAAATGCTTTCCAAAATGCCTGCAGCCAAGGACTTAGAGCTTGTTCGAAGAGATAGTTTTCTCTCTGTTTTCAGGGATCTCACAGTTTGCTCTTATTTGTTTTATCAGTGGAGAAAAGAAAGGTTTTATCCTGCTTGCTATGAGGCATGACGATTTTCATGAGTTAAAGCAAGTTCTTTGTTGGGCAAATGTATTTCAGGCCACTACATTTAAACATTCCAGATTGGAGCACACTAGGAGTTTGCTGTTTTGTAAGTGTACGTCTAACATTAGATGACCTGAAGACTTGTTTCTTTGGCTTTGAGACTTACAGTATTTTCTGAGCATAGTATTTATCAGATTGCAAGTAAAATATGCAGAAATTCTAGGAAATTTGACAAATATAGAAGAGCATTAAAGAAGTTTTAGAAATTTAATCTAGTCCTTTCCCTCGGTTTTGACAATTTCTGCCATATATATGTGTGTACATATGTGTATATATTCCTCTCCACATATATAATTTATATAGTAATATATCAATGGTATGCTTTATCTTATACCTTGTTTTACTTGATACAGTCCTATGCCTAGTTTTCCATGTCATTAATTTTTGCAAAATAGTATTTTAGTCTGTGGAAATACCATAATTTATTTAAACATGGTCATATTGCACACTTAGGGAGAGAGAATAAATCGTTACAACTTTTCTAGAGGGTAATTTATTTATTTATCTTATTTTTTATTCAGCAGGTTCTTATTAGTTATCTATTTTATATAAGTGTATATATGTCAATCCCAATCTCCAAATTCATCCCACCACCACCACCTCCTTCCCCCCTTGGTGTCCATATGTTTGTTCTTTACATCTGTGTCTCTATTTCTGCATTGCACACCAGTTCATCTGTACCATTTTTCTAGATTCCACATATATGCGTTAATACACAATATTTGTTTTTCTCTTTCTGACTTACTTCACTCTGTATGACAGACTCTAGGTCCATCCACGTCTCTACAAATGACCCAGTTTCCTTCCTTTTTATGGCTGAATAATATTCCATTGTATATATGTACCACTTCTTCTTGATATATGTATCAATTCGACTGGCGATGGGCATTTAGGTTGCTTCCATGACCTGGCCATTGTAAGTAGTGCTGCAATGAACACTGGAGTGCATGTGCCTATTTGCATTATGGTTTTCTCTGGGTATATGCCCAGTAGTGGGATTGCTGGGTCATATGGTAATTCTATTTTTAGTCTTTTAAGGAACCCCCATACTGTTCTCTATAACGGCTGTACCAATTTACATTCCCACCAGCAGTGCAGGAGGGTTCCCTTTTCTCTACACCCTCTCCAGCATTTGTTGTTTGTAGATTTTCTGATGATGCCCATTCTAACTGGTGTGAGGTGATATCTCATTGTAGTTTTGATTTGCATTTCCCTAATAGTTAGTGATGTTGAGCAGCTTTTCATGTGCTTCTTGGCCATCTGTATGTCTGCTTTGGAGAAATGTCTATTTAGGTCTTCTGACCATTTTTTGATTGGGTTGTTTGTTTTTTTGATATTGAGCTGCATGAACTGTTTATATATTTTGGAGATTAATCCTTTGTCTGTTGATTTGTTTGCAAATATTTTCTCCCATTCTGAGGGTTGTCTTTTCATCTTGTTTATAGTTTCCTTTGCTGTGCAAAAGCTTTTACGTTTCATTAGGTCCCATTTGTTTATTTTTGTTTTTATTTCCATTACTCTAGGAGGTGGGTCAAAAAAGATCTTGCTGTGATTTATGTCAAAGAGTATTCTTCCTATGTTTTTCTCTAAGAGTTTTATAGTGTCTGGTCTTACATTTAGGTCTTTAATCCATTTTGAGATTATTTTTGTGTATGGTGTTAGGGAGTGTTCTAATTTCACTCTTTTCCATGTAGCTGTCCAGTTTTCCCAGCACCACTTATTGAAGAGGCTGTCTTTTCTCCACTGTATATCCTTGCCTTCTTTGTCATAGATTAGTTGACCATAGGTACATGAGTTTAACTCTTGGCTTTCTATCCTGTTCCACTGATCTATATTTCTGTTTTTGTGCCAGTACCATATTGTCTTGATTACTGTAGCTTTGTAGTATAGTCTGAAATCAGGGGGTCTGATTCCTCCAGCTCCATTTTTTTCCCTCAAGATTGTTTTGGCTATTTAGGGTCTTTTGTCTCTCCATACAAATTTTAAGATTTTTTATTCTAGTTGTGTAAAAAATGCCACTGGTAATTTGATAGGGATTGCATTGAATCTGTAGATTGCTTTGGGTAGTACAGTCATTTTCACAGTATTGATTCTTCCAATACAAGAATAGGGTATATCTCTCCATCTGTTTTTGTCATCTTTGATTTCTTTCATCAGTATCTTATAGTTTTCTGAGTACAGGTCTTTCACCTCCTTAGGTAGGTTTATTCCTAGGTACTTTATTCTTTTTGTTGTAATGGTGAATAGGATTGTTTCCTTAATTTATCTTTCTGGTCTTTCATTGTTAGTGTATAGGAATACAGGAGATTTCTGTGCATTCATTTTGTATCCTGCAACTTTACCAAATTCATTGATTAGCTCTAGTAGTTTTCTGGTGGCATCTTTCAGATTATCTATGTATAGTATCATGTCATCTGCAAACTATGACAGTTTTATTTCTTCTTTTCCAATTTGTATTCCTTTTCTTTCTTTTTCTTCTCTGATTGCTGTGGCTAGGACTTCCAAAACTTATGAGTAATAAGAGTGGTGAGAGTGGACATCCTTGTCTTGTTCCTGATCTTAGAGGACATGCTTTCAGTTTTTCACCATTGAGAATGATGTTTGCTTTGGGTTTGTCACCTATGGCCTTCATTATGTTGAGGTAGGTTCCCTCTATGCCCAGTTTCTGGAGAGTTTTTTATCATAAATGGGTGTTGAATTTTGTCAAAAGCTGTCTCTGCATCTGTTGAGATGATCATATGGTTTTTATTCCTCAGTTTATTAATATGGTATATTACATTGATTGATTTGCATATATTGAAGAATCCTTGCATCCCTGGGATAAATAAATCCCACTTGATCATGGTGATGATCCTTTTAATGTGCTGTTGGATTCTGTTTGCTAGTGTTTTGTTGAGGATTTTTGCATCTATATTCATCAGTGATATTGGTCTGTAATTTTCTTTTTCTGTAGTATCTTTGTCTGGTTTTGGTATCAGGGTGATGGTGACCTCATAAAATGAGTTTGGGAGTGCTCCTTCCTCTGCAATTTTTTGGAAGAGTTTGAGAAGGATGGGTGTTAGTTCTTCTCTAAATGTTTGATAGAATTCACCTATGAAGCCATCTGGTCTTGGACTTTTGTTTGTTGGAAGATTTTTATTTATAGTTTCAATTTCATTACTTGTGATTGATCTGTTCATATTTTCTATTTATTCCTGGTTCAGTCTTGGAAGGCTATACCTTTCTAAGGACTTGTCTGTTTCTTCCAGGTTGTCCATTTTATTGGCATAGAGTTGCTTGTAGTAGTCTCTTAAGGTGCTTTGTATTTCTGCAGTGTCTGTTGTAACTTCCCCTTTTTTATTTCTAATTTTATTGATTTGAGTCCTCTCCCTCTTTTTCTTGATGAGTCTGGCTAAAGGTTTATCAATTTTGTTTATCTTTTCAAAGAGCAACATTTAGTCTTATTGATCTTTGCTACTGTTTTCTTTGTTTCTATTTCATTTATTTCTGCTCTGATCTTTATGATTTCTTTCTTTCTACTAACTTTGTGTTTTGTTTGTTCTTTTTCTAGTTACTTTAGGTGTAAGGTTAGATTGTTTATTTGAGAGTTTTCTTGTTTTTTGAGGTAGGATTGTATTGCTGTATATTTCCTTCTTTGAACTGCTTTTGTTGCATCCCATAGGTTTTGGATCATTGTGTTTTCATTGTTGTTTGTCTCTAGGTATTTTTTGATTTCCTCTTTGATTTTTTCAGTGATCTCTTGGTTATTTAGTAATGTATTATTTAGCCTCTATGTGTTTGTGTTTTTTACGTGTTTTTTCCTGTAATTGATTTCTAGTCTCATAGTGTTGTGGTTGGAAAAGATGCTTGATATGATTTCAGTTTTCTTAAATTTTCCAAGGCTTATTTTGTCACCCAAGATTTGATCTGTCTTGGAGAATATTCTGTGTGCCTTGAGAAGAAAGTGTAATCTGCTGCTTTTGGATGGAATGTCCTATAAATATCAATTAAATCTATCTGGTCTATTTTGTCACTTAAAGCTTGTGTTTCCTTATTAATTTTCTGTCTAGATGATCTGTCCATTGGTGTAAGTGAGGTGTTAAAGTGCTCCACTATTTTTGTCTTATTGTCGATTTCCTCTTTTATAGCTGTTAGTATTTGCCTTATGTATTGAGGTGCTCCTATGTTGGGTACATATATATTTATAATTGTTATATCTTCTTGTTGAATTGATCCCTTGATCATTATGTAGTGTTCTTCCTTGTCTCTTGTAACATTCTTTATTTTAAAGTTTGTTTTATCTGATATGAGTATTGCTATTCCAGCTTTATTTTGATTTCCATTTGCATGGAATATCTTTTACCATTCCCTCACTTTCAGTCTGTATGTGTCCCCAGGTCTGGAAAGTGGGTCTCTTGTAGGCAGCATATAGATGGGTCTTGTTTTTGTATCCAATCAGCCAACTTGTGTCTTTTGGTTGGAGCATTTAATCCATCCACATTTAAGGTAATTATCGATATGTATGTTCCTATTATCATGTTCTCAATTGTTTTGGGTTTGTTTTTGTAGGTCCTTTTCTTCTCTTGTGTTTCCCACTTAGAGAAGTTCCTTTAGTATTTGTTGCAGAGCTGATTTGGTAGTGCTGAGTTCTCTTAGCTTTTGCTTTTCTGTAAAGCTTTTGACTTCTCCGTTGAAACTGAATGAGATCCTTGCTGGTTAGAGTAATCTTGCTTGTAGGATCTTCCCTTTCGTCACTTTAAATATACCTTGCC